GCTGCCGTCTCGTGGGAAAAGGGAGAAGGGGAGTTTTAGCAATAAAAGTAGAAAGGCAAGACGGGGGAAAAAGTGTTCTTAAAACTTGCTAACACCAACACTCCCATTTTTGCTTCAAGACGACTGTGTGTTTTACTGCTCGCAGATCGGTTTCCTTTGCAGGTGATGCGGGCCCAGAATTACATCACCAGCAGAGCAGCCAAGAGCATCTCGGTGCCAGGATGACCAAAGCCGAGAGGAATGTATTATCACAGCCCGCCGAGGGACTCGCCAGTGCATTCCTTGCTGGGGGTGCTGCAATGGGGGAGGCAGAGAGGAGACAATTTTACTTGACGACTGAAAGGAAACTTTGTGGAGGAAAGATCTGGGGTCACAGTCCTGCTGTCTCCTCTAAGCAGATCTAATTATGGCCGTGTACTTCAAAAAGAGGGTTTAACTAAAACCAGATTTAGCAGGGCACTGCTTAGGAAGTACAGACTGAAGCCTCAGCCTTGCCTTTGAGGAAAATGTGAAATGCTTCAGTGCGCTGGGAACACTGTCGCTGTGGTTGTAAAGAACAATTTGAAGCCGCAGCAAGGAAAGCAACAGCCAATTTAAAATCCTCATCACTTCAATGAAGTCTCACAATAAAATGTGACTAAACATAATGTCGATGCTTTCAGTCAGACAATATTTACATTAGATACTGGGTGTGTATTTACTGACATGTTGTCTGGTGGGGTAAAAGTCTCAGCAGTCTGGGGGCTCGTGTTGGAAGTGATCGAATTACTCACAAAGCAGTTGCACAGATCTCCCTTAACCAGCTCCAACAAAGCCTTTCTGCCACATCGCATCCTCTATTCTACAAGCCAGTCCCATGCATATGTAAGAAACTCCCTCCTCCCCCCGCCGTTTTTGAAGGCTTTCAGGCTATTTCTGCCATCCATCCTGCGGGACTGGCTCAATGGTCCTCACCACAAGCCTGTTTCTGAACCGTTGAAATCAATGAGAGCTTTCCAGTGCTTTTAATAGCAGCAAAATGTGTTGTCAACAAACTGGATTAAAGAAGACTACAAGACAAATTGTTCAGAGATTAGCACCTCTAAAAATGTCAGGATTTTAAACCTTATCCCTTAGGTCGATCAAGCAGTGCTGAGGTTATGCAGAGCTCTTCCCTTTTCCACCAGAAGAAAAAGCTTTGCTGATCAAATAAAACCGTTTATAACTGATCCTAAAGATTTCTCTTCCCCCCGCCGCCCAGTTCCCTAAGGGGGAAGGCAAGAGGGCTGGGACTAGGCAGAGCAGGGAACAACCAAGTACCACTTCATGTTAAGCCTGCTTTACACAAGAGCTTTCTGCGGTAGGGCAGTGCCAACAGCTGGTTTAGCTGCAGCCAGCTCAGCCGGTGTCGGAGCTCACATCACCAGCTCATTCCCCAAAGCACGGCTGAAGGGTGGTGCCTGTGCTGGGAGAAGCAGCTTCATCACTGCAGCTCTTGCTGCGTAGTCTCCTGCTCTTCAGGTGTCCACTGCAACCCACTTTGTCAGTACAGCTCCAGTCAGACTCCTCATTCTCCACCTGCCAGACCAGAGACTCCGTACCCCATCATCTGCCACCAACGGGCTCTGAGCTCTTCTCCTTATTCCTCAGCCTCCTCAGGGGGAAGATGGCTGCTTTTGCTCTTCTTCTTATTCCTCAGCCTCCTCAGGGGGGAAGATGGCTGCTTCTGCACAGGGATAGGAGGTGCTCAAGGACAACCTCATGGTATGGGAACAGTGGCTGAGGTGGGGAAGCATCGCAAAGGAGAATTTTGGTCGAATGGTAAAAACAGAAAATACTGTCCCTAGCTTTCAAAACATTCCCATCTTTAGACATGATTATAGAGTACTATAGCGAAATTTGCAAAACGCTGCAGCCACCATGTGTGTAGAAGCACCTTCCACTAAAAGTACTAGATTTCTTTCATCTCCATTCGGCAAACGGTTGTCACTACTCTTTTCCTGTAACATGCCAACCTTTTCCATAACCTTTCTACAGCTTAGTTGCACTTGGTGTTGCAGAGCCAACACCAACAGTCAGGCTCTGCAGCTTTCTCCTTTTACCCCTCCTAGCTGGCTACATTTTTAATAGCCTTGTCAACAGTTTTATCTTTTTTTATACTTTTTATGCATAATTATTCTTGAAAAATCATGTTTTCCTGTTATTTCCTTCCTTTGTAAGGCTGACCTCATAATTAGTCCCTCATAGGGACTGTTTGCTTTCATGTCATGTTGTTGTGGATTGATTAGAGATAATGTATGAAAGTGTATGCAAAAAAGTATTCCAAAGTAAATACATTAAGAGACTGCTAGAAATACATTAGAACCGAGGCATATTTCTGCTCTTAAAGAATTTCCATTTTTATCTCGTTCAAACATTCACAGGACAGCAAAAGCAGATGTGGCCTCTAAAAGCTGGTGTGGACATCAATAGTTAGGAAAGATTGGTTAAAAACTGTGAGGAGAGAAATTATTTAAACTTCTTAGAACCAGGACAGAAATTATTACTGCTTTAATTGTACTGGACTGCCATGAGACTGCTGTCCCACAGAACTGTTCTTCCTCTGGCTCACCTTGTCTCATTAACATTATAACTGTGAGTGCAGCAGAGTGGCTGACGGGCAAAGTTCAACTCCGTGTCCCGTTTCTTTTTCATGGAGACTACAAGTCTGTTCAGCTCTTAATAAAATTACCCTCAGGCCTCAAAGCACCACAGTAAAATCAGTTATATATAGAGTGGTACTTATAAAACAAGAAAGCCTAGGCAGGACCCTGAGAAATGGCTTCGGGCAGGCCCGTTCTCTGTCCGAATATACAGATTGAGTGCAGGGGTTGTGGGTGGGTGTGTGTGTATGATTTAACCTATTGCAACTTCAATGTGGTTTCTACTACAAACTCTTTCTTTTTGACAAAAATCTATTGCTGATTGCCACGGTGGGGCTTTCCTGAGAAGTCATCCCATCACCCTCTCTTTCTTCCTGAATACAGCCCTCAAACGATACTACTTCCAGTTTTCAATACTTACAAAGACGAGGGTGCAGCCTCAATCCCATGTGCACTCAGCAAACAGACATGAGGAGTTAAGACCATTTAAGACTCTACGCTAATGAGTGGTTTCCAGCCCATCCTGATTTTGCCTTGCAAGTGATCTGGGAGGAGGACCCTGAAGAGGGAGGGGTGTGTGTGCTTGGTTTTCTGTGTTTAGCTACATGCCATGTTCTTTCTCTCTGCTTGGGCACTACTAAACTTGACGCAAATTTTCTCATTAGTGCCTTAGACAAACAAAGCGTATTAAATAGCAAACATCAGGTTTCTCATGTCACTTAGCATAAATCAAAAGGGCTTCAGCTTTGCAATTCTTCCCCTGTAGCCACAGGCACAGAGGCACTGGCCATAACAGACAACGGATTTAGTTGCTCTTAAAGATCTGCTTTCAATAGAAGTTCAAACTCAGAGTCTCCTTTTTTCATTGTTTTTTGAAAAATCATAGCATGTAGAAAAAATGAAGTTTAAAAGACACAAAAGAGTAGGAAGAGTATGAGAAAATGTCCACAGAGATAGGACTCAATATCTCAGCAGCAGTAATGTGAGACAGAAAACTTTTTAATCAATTCATTGAAGGAAGTCAGTTTGAAATAGGTCATAATCTTTGGCTATTTAGTGGCCTTCACAAGTTGGGTTGGAATAATAAGAAGGCAACAATTGTCAAATTAAAGTTAATATAACATGTAAAGGCAAATGTAAATGATATTTTAATACCACTTTTACTTTTGTAGTATTTTAGTTGCCTGCATCTCCACACATACAAGGATATTCAGCATAGAGAAAAAAATGGCATCTATGAGAATCAGATGTTAAATTGCTCCTTACTTGGAAATACAACAAATTTTTAATCTTCTGCTAAGAGAATCAAATTGCTAAGATGTAGAAACATTTTTCTCCTTTAAAGTTTGCCAGTCAACCCAGGAAAACAGAGAGACAGAAAACCAGCAGCTACTACACCAGGAAATATGGTAACTTCAGCTCATGTGCCACCTACTCAAAGCTGGCGCTGAACTGAGCTCAGGAAATAGGCTCAACAATTTAGCTCCTGGCTTTTTGCAAATGTCTGCCACCAGACTGTGGTTTCCTCAAAAGCATTTCTTCTTTGAACTTGGTTTATGTATTTTGCTCAGAGCTTTTTAAAAAAAAAAAATGTGGATTGATTTTAAGCAGTTTGGTATGAGTATGAAAATTTCATATTGAAAAACTGAGGCTGTTACCGAGTGCTCATTCTTCTCCTAAGGTAGGTGCTCGGTCTTTTCTTAGAGACTCAGGGAACAAATTACTCCCACAAGGAGGACAAACACTTGAAGAAAAAAACCTGGAGTGTATAAGCCAGCCAGATAAACACTGCAGACAGTCCATTGCAGGCTGGGCATGTTTTATAAAACATGAGAATTTCTGCTTCCAGGAGAATGTAAATCTTGCCTGAGGCATGTGTCTTCAAAAATATGAAAAATAATGCAAATGGTTTGTGACTTTGCAAGCCTAAACTCGAGGACATGGCAAAGTCCCTACCACTTGTGTGCCAGTATCCTAATGTGTGTTGTGGTTTTCCTTACCCCGTCCTCCTGCTGTGACAAAGTCCCCCATCCTTCACAAAATGTGGCACTTAGCTAAGCATGCCAGCCCCAGACTTAGCCAATGTAAATAACTTCTCATCAAAAGCTACCAGGAGGTGAACCCAAAATGGGCCTGAGTAATTCAAAACAAATTTGTTTCTTAATTCAAGTGCACACTACAGGAGCATTCAATGGTATGCCTCCAACTCTAGACTTGCACAGAAGTGTACTTACTAATAACGTGAGTGAATTGACATTTACAAATGGTTTAGATATGAGTCTAGTGTCATTTAAACACAGAAAATACCAGACTGAACCACTGCTGAACTGACAAGCACGGGATGCCAGGGACACTCTTTGCACTGTCTCAGGTACTCACCTTTCCCGCTCCTGTTCCAAGAGGTTGGTAAAGTCATCGCTCTTGTTCATGTAATCTGTATGTTTATGTTTCTCATTTTCTAGCTCATAAACAGTGCGGCGATGGCACTTTTCTGCCAACAGGAGCTGTTCCAGCATGCGCCGATACGTCTCTTTCTGCTTTTCTTCAAGTCTGTCCAGCTGGATTGTAGGGAAGGAGAATAGACTGTTTTAAAGGTCTCCTTGCTTACTTCATCTGATTTATTAACCAACAATGTTGTGTTGGGTAAATGCGCGTCCCATAATTTCATGTCTTGGGCTTTGCATAAAGCAGTGACTAGATGTAAGAGTAACTGTCCTGTAAAAGTAATGATTTTTTGGACAGCATGTTTGCAATAAACATTTGCATGGTTCTCAGATACACAAAGGACAGAACTTTGCATAGTTTTAGGGTAACAAATAACATTGTTGCAGCGCAGAATTTCCCCTGTGGCGCGGTGCTGTGCACACTTTCCTCATTTCACACAGGAAAAGCTGTAGCAAATGCCAGGGCAGGATGCATGCCCTCAGACCCTGGGAGCATATATCCCCGCATATGGGGACTAGACACCTACATGTGAAGTGGAAGGTGTAAGCTCGAGGCTGAAATTTGAGCTATGTGTCTTCAACACACATGTAGGACCGCTGAGGTAAAAATCAGATTCAGCATAGATTCAGTTTTGCATTTCCAGATACAATCGATTACAAGCCTTAAGAGTTTTCCCCTCAGCCTGTTTTTTGACAGAAATTTCTCTTTCTTTATTAGCAACACTTTACCTTTTTTGTCTTCGGAGGGTTTTTAATCAATTTAATGTGACAATTATTATTCAAACAAACACTAAGGCCAGGGAGGTGTGTCTAAAAAGTTGCCAGGGCACACTGAAGCCACCACAGCTATTCACACTCCTCCTTTCACTGTTCCTTGAGAGCAGACGACAAACTCCATCTTCCTCCCCACTGAAGCAGCCTGCAGCCCTGGTGCTTCTCTGCTTGCCTGCCATGGGCACGGTGGCTGGCAGAGCCTGCTCTGCCCAACTCCAGCCCCTGCCTTGCGGGTATCGCATCTTCCCCAGCCCCAGCTGCATTGGGCAGTTGCTGTTTCAAGGGCGCCTCAGCAGACTGAGGGAAATAAGACAGCAGGAGGATCACAGTGATTTGCTCTCCAGAAGTTGACCACGGTAGTCAAAGTAAAACAGTCACTGCATTTTTTAAAGGAGCCAGGCTGGATTCAGCCCTGAGTATAGATCTTCTGCACTCATGAAATTTTGTCATTATACTACTTTAGCTCCAACATAACACCCATAGACCTACATATGATATAAGTTTTACACTGAGTTCCCTGTCAAATTATCAGCTTCTTTAGACAAAAGCCCTACTAAGCTCTTTTAATCTTGCTAAACAGTATTTCATGCATGCTCCCACATGCTAATGTTTGCTTTCCTTATTTGCCATCATCCCAAAAATTCCAGAAGACATTTCAATGAGAATACATGGTATGAAGATATCCTATTGTAGACACAATTCCTGGTGAAAAAATTAATGTTCTAATAGGAGGAACTATGAAGATTTGGACAGGCACTATAGTATATTATATTGTACATTGTTGCATGCTCTTTCTCCATGCCCTGGACTGTTATGAAACTATAAACATGAGCAGTGGCTGCTTATTTTGGCGTTCATGCTGGCCTCAGACATTCCCAGGTCTATTCCACATTCATTTGTTGCTTACATTTTAAAGCAAAGGATCAAGTCCTACAAGTCTCCTTTAGGGGCTGAACTGACTTGGCAGTCCTAGAGCTTAAGTGACGTAAAATGATTATAGATTTATGATCCTCTAAATACTGTCAAAGTCAATCTCTGAAGGTCTTCTTTTCCTAACTGTCCACATGACATTGCTCTAGTATGCCAAGAAAATCAGAGTGCTTACCAGTGCTGTGAGCAGTAGAGGTTGGAGCCTATAACTGAAATTAATTTGAAAAACAGAAATGTAATAGCCAAAGATTTTGTTCTCACTTAACAGCACCAGCCCTAAGGAGCACACAAGCTCTTTTTTGTTTGTGTTCAAACCCAGAGATTTTGCTTACAATTTATTCTGTGGTTGAGTGAACAAGAATATTCTTGCCATTTGTACAAGCACTGCATTATCCTCTTGTGTGCTTTGCACACATGCAAAGTACGTGGAGCCTCACTTCTGGTTAGGATTCACCCTGCACAGATGTAATGACATAAATCAAGAAGTTATTACCTCTGAAATTGGTTTCTCATAGACGTCTTCCCCTATTGACTTTTCTTGAGCAAGGATGGCGTCCCTGTGTAGCACTCGGAGCACGTTCTCTGGAGCTGCAGACCCATAATGAGCTTCTAAAACTTCAGGTTTGGTTTTCTCTGTCTTCAGCATGTGGATTACATCCTCCCTTGCCTGTAATATTGCAAATCAACACCATAAGCCAACCTATTCATCAACAGGCAAAACAGGGAAAAGAGGGGCATTTCATACATACAGGCTGCATACACAAAAATAAAATGAATTTGAAGAATGCCAGGCTGCCAATAAAAATATAAAATCTTTGGGAGATATCAAAGTAAATATGATCTGCGCAATCCAAATGTTGTTCCTGTAGGCATTAATTAGTCTGTTCCTGCCTGTCATTACATTGGAATGCTATGAATTTTTATCTGGGTTGCAACCATAGCCAGGGAACATCATTACTCTTCATATCCTTCATCTTCTTCACTGCCAGGCAGTGGTGGTCCTGTGGCTGAGGGGAGCGTGGTCTCGTCTCCTGCTGCCCACCCTGGGTGGGGGACACCAGTTTCAGGCAGCACAAGCAGGCTTCTGGGCATGATGGGACTGCTCTGCAAGGCCACCTGGTTATGAATAAGGGGCATTTTAGGGCTATGCTGCCCACAAACACTTAATCCTGAGCTCTGTTTCTGATGATACTTGCCAATATCTGTTAAGCCGTCTGTAAAATGGGGGCAGGGCAGTTGCTTGAACTTCAAGGCACGTTATAAGGCCATGCTCCAGGGAAGAACAGTAAAAGGTACAAGTTTTTGGCGGACATGAGGGAGGTCCCGGATTTCCCTGGAGAGATCTCTCCCACAAGCCCAAAGAGACAGGGTGCAGAAGGGTACAGGCACCAATTTTTGTCTCACCTGCCCTTCTGACACTCAACCCACGTAAACTTGGGAAGCAAATTAAGGGCTAAGGAAAGGTTCAGATATTTTAGGAAAAATCTCTTAGCAAATCCTGCCCCTAGGGAAGCAATGCCTGTTTAGGATTTATGAACTGACCAACACTTCATGCTTTTCCACAGCATTCATAATGGCACTCTGTATTATCCCTGTAGCAAATCTTAAATCTTTACCCAGTACCACAGAGGCATCACAACTCTACAAAACCACCTGCTTTCAAAATGAGCAAGGAAATAATTTCAGAAAATGGCAAAGACCCTTTATTATTTTTCTTTTTTTTTTTCTTAATTAAATAGAGTAACATGAAAATAAACCCAAAAAATGAACTTAAGGCAAAGATCATGCCACTCAGTTGAGAACTATCCCACTACTAAACAGCTAGCTGTAGGGGCTTACTCTGTACAACATTTTGTAACCTTAAGTAAAAGATTTATGCACGTCTGCAAGATAGAGAGTACAGACTGGAATGGTATTAATGGTTTTTCAGCATGAGCATGGGAAAGGCGCATCACTCATGGATGTCAAAACTACAAATGAATTATGGGGGTTAGCCCCAAAGAGTGCCAAGAGAGCCTGTGCACCTCACTACATCATGCCCTGGGAATATGCCACTCTCAGTACAGGAAAAAATGTTATTTTAGGAAACTTTTAGACAGGTTTTAGAATATATAACTTTTTATGTCCCTGTAAAAATAACAGTTATCTTAGTGTCTTTGTTACTATGAGGCCAATGCTTCTATACTGAAGAAAAGGTCTTAAAAAGTCTAATTGAATAGCACAGGATTTTGGGAGTATTTATAAATGTCACCATTTTAAGATATGTTGTCTTAGGCCCTTGTAGAAAGAGACAGTTTGGGAGCCATATCTGTGTCCTGACCCAAAGAATGAATTCGGTGTCCCGCAGTGTGCCTTGCAGGAGGTGCCCTGTGCCACAGGCGTGCAAAGGGACCACCGAAAACAGTGGGATGAGGGGGCAGCCCCCTTCCACCCTATGCACCAAGGACCACAACCAAGCATGCTGAAACCTTGATTCGTTTGGTCCTGAGCACAGAAATCTTCAGGCACTACACAGCCCACGCCTCAGGGAGAGCCACACCTCGGACCTTAGGCTATTTGCAAGGGGAGGAGGATGATTTCGTTCTCTCCTGTTGAAGCTGTCGGGCCCTGGATAGCATAATTAAACATTGACAGGGCCAGGCAGAGCAGAGACAACTCGGGCTTGGTGATTTAACGCTATGACTTGGGAGAGCAAAGAGCTGCACTCCAGTCCCTGCACAGGTTATTTAATGCAGCAGTACCTGGCAGCGGAACTGAACGCTGCTCTTCCCACCGAGTGCCCCAGGCTGTGTCCAGTTATGCACTGCCATGCATACTTTCCTTCCAGCCTCATTAGTGTTTAATCATTACTGATTAAAATGGAGCAACTTTAGCAGGAGGGGATGAGAGTCTCTGAAACAGCTTACAGCTTGCCAGCTAAGAAAGATTTCTGGAAGCTGCGGGTTTGGGTCCCCTGAGATCCAGAGGGAGATGAGCTGGGGGAGTGGGTGATGCCGAGTGGATGAACCAGGACCCCAAGAAGGAAAGGAGAAGGTGCCCAAGCTCAGTTCAGAGCTCTGAAGGAAACCCTTATTTATGGCTTCATCTTTAAAAAGAAGCAGTGACATGCTTAGCTCCAGGGAACAGGGCAGGGCTGCCAGCCCTAAAACACCTCTCGCTGCAGCCCATGGGGAGGATACCCAGCCTGGGAGCGGGCTGGGTGGCCCCATCCACAGGGTGCAGGCAGCACCCCACTCGCGTACCCCTCCTTGGGCACCCCACGCTCTGCAGGCGCTTGGGGTCTGGATCGCATTAGCATGGCAAGGTTCCTTCTGCCTTTTCTGGGCTTGGCTGTCGCTCCTATCATTATCTTTTCAAGGGTATCAGCTAATTCACCAAGTACTCTGTTTCCATGGACTTCTGATAACAGTTTGTGAAAAGCAAACTAACAAACAGACACTCACGTTGCTAGGAAGCATTGGACCAAAAAAGGGGCCGCGTGCTAATAATAAACTGCTTTCTATTTGGTCAGCAACAAGCCACAGCACAGGAAGACTCTGAAGTGCAGCTAGCCTAGGTCAGAGGGTGGCCCAGGCAACATCCTAACCTCCCATCAGCCTCGAGATTTTCAAACTCCGGTTAGTCTCTCTGAAACTCCTTAGGATAAATGCAGAGGAAAGGAGTTGAAACAGCAGCCCTGTGTAACTCGTGATTTCATGTTTCCTCCAGATGACTAATCCTCCACTGAAACAACTAGAGGAGAGTTCATGTGAAGATGTTTTCTTTCAATGTATAGTCAACAGCTATTGCCATATTTAACTGCAGGTTACAGATCATTTTCAGATAACAAGTCAGAATAATCCTGTGGAGGAAGACTTGAGGAAAGAGGTACAAGAGACTCAAATTGAGGGGTCCTTGCTAAGAAGAGGGAACCATATTTGCAAGCTGTTTCTACTGATGGACATCTACTGTAGGTGCCTCCCTTGTCTCAAAGCACAATGCTGTTTAACGTAAATCATAAGCTAGGAGACAAACACAAGGAAGAGATTTCAAATTGGAAGTAAACTTCTATATAACTCCCAGAGGAAACTTATTAGCTGTTTTGGTAGAAGAAACATGGTGTTTGGCATGGGAAAGCCATCTCTCGAGTCTTTTTTTTTGTTTTGCTGGTGCTCTGATGAGAGAGAATATTCAGGCACCAGAAGACCACACACTGAAACAGCTTGTAACACAATGAAACTTACTTACGTAAGTCCAGAAGACTGCAGTCACAGAAGCTCTTTAAAGATACGGAATTTAGAAAATATGTACAATTACTTTTATTGTTTTTTAATTCCTTCAATTGTCCTACAGAAAACTCCAAGCTAACTTTCTACCTATACTGTTCATATTGTGGATTCTTGAGAATAACCAGACTTTTCTGTTAATAAAGTGCCACTGAGTACCTGATTCTCTAAAAGTAGGAGCAATGAAGACAGATCAATGAAGAAGTCACTTTTACCTTTTAGAAATACTGTCAAGGTGAGAAACACAGAAGGCCAGATATGTTGAAAAGAGTTGTGACTTCCTGTCCATCAAACTCATACAACCACAGAACCATAGAACAGCCCAGGTTGGAAGGGACCTCAAAAGATCATCTGGTTCAACTTTCCGTGGGAAATGAAGCCTAGACAGGGTCATCTAGCCCCCTGTCCTTGAAAATTATCAGTGATGGTAACGCTACCACATCCATGGGGAGGTTGTTCCAGTGATTGATTATTCCTACTGTAAAAAATTTCTTTCTTATGTCAAGATGAAACCTTTCCTGGTGCAGCTTGTACCCATTGCCCCTTGTCTTCTCTGTGTGGCTCCTCACAAACAGAGAGCCCCCATCTTCTTTGTAGATGCCCTTTAAGTACTAGAATACTGTGATGAGGTCCCCCCAAGCCTTCTCTTCTCCAGGGAGAAAAGACCTAATTTCTTCAATCCTTCCTCACAGGGCAGATTCTCCAGCCCTTTGATCATCTTCATGGCCTTCCTTTGGACCTTCTCCAGCCTGTCTTCGTCTGTTGAATTGTGGGGACCAGAACTGGACACAGTGCTCAGTTAACTCCTTCCACTGTCCCTGGTGATAGAGGAACTGAAAAGCTGAACTGTATCTAAGCCTCATTTTATGCTTACTGGAGGTGCCAAAATCTTAAGGCTGATGACCTCAGGTCTTGAGTATGTCCATGGACGGGCTGAAGTGCTGTGGAGCACTGCTGTCTTGCACAGCTTTACCATTTGTCCTTTCCTTCCTCTCTACTACCCAGTGATTATTGCACTTCCTTAAGATGTGGGGTCTGCATTTCTACCTGGGAAATACAGACTCCCCAAGACAATGCTCCCCTCCCTTCAGGAGTGCATGCTAGCCACCCAGACGGAAGGCTGACATGAGGCCACTCTTTGCAGGGCTACCCTGAAATGCTCCCTTTTTGGCAGAATAAAAGAGAAGGGCTTTCTTTTCCTTGTTGTCTTGAGAAGAGCAGCGGTCTGCGTTCCAAACCTCGCTTTACTACGTGCCTAGTAAAATATTTAAATTATATAGAAAGGATGTAAAGAGGTCCCTGTATAAAACTGAAACCATTTAGGAAACAATAGCATGACTCTGCTGCTTGTAAAAGGGGACTGGCAGCCTAGCAACCAAATTCTTGGTCAATGGAAAGACTG